TGAGTGGGAGCAGAGCGGGCAGCAAAGTGACAGATCTGATTCCACATACAGATGGGTCAACAAGGCAGGAATCCAAGTAACTGAAAGAAACAATTATCTGTAAATTGAATGCCAGGAAAGTGTGGAGAGAGGTGGAGGATGAGGGAGATTTCATGGCATAATTTGGGGAAGAATATCCCGAGGTGGAGAGAAAGTAAAGAGTGAAAATAGGACACTAGCATAAGGCATCAGAATAGCCAGGGCATGCAGTGTATGGGGCCTGTGGGCCAAGAAGCCAGGAAAGCTGTCTGAGCCTGAATGGGGAGAGCTCAAATTCCGGCTGAGAACTTCAGACAGGGGACATGTCCATCACTGCATCATCTCATCACAATAGATGTGAGACCGGGGAAAGAAAGAGTGCGTTCTCTGAAGGGTTAGGCCTGTGTTGTGGTGTAGCAGGACATTCACGTAGTCCATAATTCTCTCTGAATTATGGAAATATCATGGCATTACCAAAAAGGGAAAAAAGCGAAATTATGGCACAAAAATTTTACAACATGTGTCTATTTTCCATCTTACGGACAATAAAATAGGAAACAGGACAGCATTGTAAGTGCAGTTGACCCTTAAACAACTTGGGAGTCAGGGGTGCCGAACTCCTGCACAATCAAAAATCCACATATAACTTTTGACTTTCCCCAAACTTAACTACTAATAGCTTACTGTTGACCATAAGCCTTACCAATAACATAAAACGTTGACTAACACATATTTCGTATATCATATGTGTTAAATATTGCATTCTTACAATAAAGTACGCTACAGAAAAAGTGTTATTATTAGGAAAATTGTAAGGAAGAGAAAATATATTTACTGTTCATTAAGTGGAAGTGGACCACCATAAAAGTCTTCATCCTCATCATCTCATATTGAGTAGGCTGAGGAGGAAGAGAAAGAGGAGGGTTGGTCTTGCTGTTTCAGGGGCGGCAAAGTTGGAGGAAATCCACCCATAAGTGGACCTTCGAAGTTTAAAACTGTTTAAGGGCCAACCATCAATGCAATGTGAACAACAGATCTAGTGCTCTGCTAAACTCTTGAGAGTGTGACATGGAAGGAAACTACCACATACAACTAGTGATGGGATTTTCCCCCACCTTAAACGTTTTTGGAACAAGGAAGATGTAAATTTTTTAAAAGGAGTAGTTTAAAAACCTTCTAGGTGTCGCATTTACAATGCAATTCATTGTTATAAAATACTGATAACAATTGTATATCTAACATACTTTACCAAGAGAAATACTTTACAGGGGTTTACATGGCACATTTATCTCCTCCACTCTATAAAGCACAATCTTGTTTAAGTGAAGAATTTTGTGTCTTCATTTGGAGGATTTCTTGTGATTAGAAAATCCTTTTTGCTAGAATCATGGTGGTTGAAAAATTGTGCTTAGTGTTCTGATTTTCCAAGTTTCCTTTGCACAGGCAAAAAAACGTAGAGAGGAGGGGAAGAGGAAAACAGAAAGAGGAAATTTTTGTCCAAATAATGACAATGGAAAGGTGAACATTTAGCTAACTGAAACCAACCCAATAGTCTCATAGATAGTTTCTTGCATAAACACAGAACTTGACCCTTCTGGTCTTAAGGCTTAAACCTTACATTTGTTTTATCTGAGTTCCTTCCTCAGGAAATGACCTTCAGGTCTCTCAAAAAAAGTGACAAAGAATTGAAACTCACCAGATCATCACATTCAGACAATGAGATGGAAGACCCCTCATTCATCCTGATTGCTTCTCTGGCCCTCCCTAATTCCTATTTTCTTACACATTGTTACATTTCTTCCCTACTATAGAAACCCCTAGGTTTAGGTTTAGTAGGTCAGGGAGATGGGTTTGAGACTGGGCTCCCATTGCCTTGGCTGCAGCACTGGATTAAAGACTTCATTCTTGGCAATAATTGTCTCAGCGCTTGGCTTTCTGCTGTGTGGCAAGCCGGAGGACCTAGGCCAAACCCCTGGTGTTCTGGTAACATAACCAGAAGCCTTTGCTTTGGTGGGTACACGTGGTTATTTTCCAGCAGAAAAATAGCCAAGTGAGAAATAGGTGTTGTCTCAGAGAGGTCTATGAGGTGGGGAGCAGGAAGGGTCTGGCGGGATGGGGCTGGTGTGCGAGGCACATTCCTGAGGATTCCTTATTGGGAGAGAGTTCTGCCTTAGCAAGAAACACCCTAGAAGCTTCTTGCCTGGGGCAGATGGTTGATTCTGTATGCAGTCTTCTAAATGGTGTGGGGTTTGCCAAACATGGTGCTTAGAATCTGGACTATCCCTTGTATTTCTGTCTTTCTTTATCCCAACCTCTTGCTCGGTGGCCTCTTCCATTTGCTTCTTGAAATGTGTGGTCTCCGGTTCCCAGACTGCTGTTTTACTCTTCCTTGCGACTCTGCTTTGATGTACCATGGTGCCTGGCACATAGCACACCGTTATTAAGAACTTGTTGAATAAATGGCCCAATATGGCATTGACGTTTTCTTTGAAGTGCCTGTCTTCGTTTGTTCAGACTGCTGTAAAAAAATTACCATAGACTGGGTGGCTCACACAACAGAAATTTATTTAACACGGTCTGGAGTCTGGGAGGTCTGAGATCAGGGTGCCAGCATGGTCGGATTCTGCTGGGGGCCCTCTTCCTGGTTTGTAGACAATTTCAGACCTCACATGGGGAAAGCGAGAGGAAGCAAACACTCTGCTGCCTTTTCTTGTAAGGCACTAATGTCATTCATGAAGGCTCCACTTTAGTGACCTTATCACCTCCCAAAGGCCCAACTCCAAATACCATCACACTAGGTGCTCGGGCTTTAACATATGTATTTAGAGGGGATACAAACACACAATCCACAGCAGTGCCGAATAGTCTAGAGACCTCAGGGTCTTCAGAATCTCTCTGGTTTGCATCTGTCCTTGCCCAGTGAACCCTGCTGTGTATGTACCTTGTTTTGGTCAGATATTCCTTGTTTTTGTTTGTTTTGTTTTTTCTTTTATCTGTAGTGAACCACAGGAGATTTGGGGGCTGATTATATCTGACTGCTGGTAGCCCAGTACATGTGATTTCTGGTCCTCACTCTTCACTAGACCTGGGACCTAGGATGAGTCATTTCAACTTGCAGTATTTCAGCTTTCTCATCTACAAAATAGAAAGGTCCTAAATGTTTTATATGATTCTGGAGCTTCTAGTTCCAACATAAATTTCCCCTAAATCATTCCTTTCTTATTATAGTCATTGATTACTTAAATTCAGTGATGTTAAGATGGATGGCTGTGTTTCCTTTTTCTTTAACAATGACCACAACTGTATGTCATTATTATTTAGTAGGAAGCTTGAGGGGAGGAAGTATCCTTAGAATGTTTTGGATTTTTCTCTTACCTGTAAGCTGGCTTTCTTATTTTGCTCCAACAGTCCTTATGATTCTGGGAAAGAGGACAGGGCAGAAGCCCCTTTGGAAGGGAGGAGCATGACCCTGGGGAAGTGGCTCTGTCTGGCTTGTGGATTGTGGGAGAGAATAAGGTAGCAGCCAAATCCTGTCTGCTGCATTAACCTCAGTCTGAGCGCAGACTTTTGAAAGCGGGAGTGGCATTGAATGGGATGGAAGCAAAGCTAAAAGTGAACAGGCCCTTTCCCTTCACCCAGTGGGCCTAGACCGACACCATCTTGCATGGGGTCCTGCCAGAAACATCCTACAGCCACATCAGAATAAATGGTATGGCAGGTGGGTGTATGTAGACAGATGAGGCGCAGAATTTATTGACCATGAGTCTGTTTTGACCTTGAGTATCTTGGAAGGTGTCTTGGAGTTCCCATGTAGCAGAGGAGAGACGGAGGGGCTGAGGTCAGAACCACTAGGTGAGGGTAAGCACCCAGGGGCCTTGCCATAGGGAGCATGGTGACCCTATCCACCAGGGCTGCAGAATAGATGAGAGAGCCAAAGCAAGGCCATGTCAGCAGCTGAGAAAGATGCCAGGCCCGACAGAGACAACATGGACCTTGAGATGCCAGGTGCAGGGTTCGGGAGCAGAGGTGAGCTGGGCCTGGCAGAGAGGACTCCATTGCTGCAAGGGCCAGCAGGGGCCCAGACAGCAGGGCCTATACTGACTGCCCACAGACCTGTGACCTGTGTCTCCCTCGCCCACCTGGGGACATGGTAACTCCATGTGTATCCCACCCACTGGGTGCCCTTGTGGCGGGACAGGCCAAAGAAGGAGCATACACTTGACATGACAGCTGCAGTGAGGAAGGAGGCAGACGGAAGCCTTACGGCACTGCTTTCCTGTGAATGGACATGTTGAAAAGGCCTTTTCCCTTCCCTTGCTGTCCAGTGGAGCTGATGGGGTGGGAGACTAAGGAAGGAAACATCAATAGTAGAAAATACGCAACACAGATGTGCTTTGCTCACTTGAGTGGAAGTGAGCACAATTTCAATCCAGCCACGGCAGCGCCGTTAGAGGAGGCTGCCTGCCTTGCGTTTCCCACCTGGAAGGGAGCTCCTGCCTGCTCTCTCCATATCATTTCTCCGGCTAGTGGTCTGGGCCCCAAGATGACCTGGAAGGGAGAATATTGCCTCGTCTCCCCTGGAGCCAACAGTGCACAGAATGGATGGGCTTGGTGAAGGAGGCTATGAGCACTTGAGGCTAATACTGTGGCCTCTGTCCCGTGTCTGATAAGGCCCTCCGTGTGCAGGAG